TTATGGCAATACGTAAACAAACTTTTTGTTTACAAACAAGTGCAAACTTATTGCAAGCGTATTGTGTACTTTCAAGTGAAAAATCGAAGTAATTCGTGCGTTCTGAAGTAAAAAACGTTTTATTTGTAATAAAAACTTTATAAAAATGTCGTTTCGTGTGTTGAATTGCAGCAGCCTTAGGGGTAAAGCCCCCAAATACAGTTTTTTATTTATTATTGTTATTTTCTCACTGCAAATTCACAACTGTCAACTCATTGTTCTTCGCCATATTCTTTGTTCACCCGTTGCCACCAATGTCATTCTGCGGGAATGCGCAATCTTGCATTCCATCGTTCTTGATATAGGTTTGGTACAAAATCCACACATTTGAATCTGTCTCTGAAAGAGTTTTGCGTTAGTGTTAAGAGTAAATATCATGAAGTCGCCAAAGAGGCCATCTTAGCTTTGCTTCGTTCTGTCGCAACGTACTGTGTCAACAGGTTTTTCAGCTTACACTTATACAAAATCAAATTCAGGTCGAAATTGGATGCTACCCCAGAAATGCGCATACAGCTTTCAGACATTATATCGAACTACTATTTTATACAATAATTAATAACAGTGAAATAATTTCATTCTTTACAATCAATTTTAAAGTATGTATACTGTTTCTAGTAAAAGTTTTTATTCATATTTAAATTGAACTGCCTTTGATTTTTAGTAATTTGATGTGGGGTTCCATAAAATGAAAATTGTTTAATAAGGGTTCCATCATCTTAAAAATTTAAGAACCCCTGGGTTAGTACATGTTTATAACTGTTATTAGGGGTCTTGATCAAAAGAGATAAACTATAGATAAACTTGATAAAATGATAAATTTCTCATTTTGATAAATGAACAGTCAAACTTTGTATGGACATCTATTTAACCAAAGTTGATCACTGTATCAAACGATTTTGGTGAATAGACGTATAAATTTCAGCAAAATTCAACCCTGACAGACTACCAGGTGGTCCATTTTGCTACGAACACATAAAAACAAATTAGCACAATGGACGAGGTAAGAATGAAACGTATCTAGCCAGATAAGTTAAATAATAAACAATTTGCTGCAATTATTTGCCAAAGTGTCTTAATGAAAGAATGCGGATAAACTGACAAATTTATGCCATTTATCCGTTTATCACTTTAGATGAAGACCCCTATTATGGATAAAAGCGGAGGTACACAACATGCGTTCGCCGGCAAATGCGTCACGCCATCAATGTCAAATAAAATTGAACACGTGCGTTTGTATGGCAGCTGTTACAGACGACGCCGTTACGAATGCGTTAACGCAGTTGCCAGTGTAAACCAACTCGCTACTTTTCTGTTGCGTTCATGCGTTAACATTTGAAATTACATTTGTGGATACGCTTATCAGCTATTTTTTGTTTACAAAATAATGAGCGGCACAACGCAAGGTGTGTCAGCAAATTTTTCAACGTCGTCAACGCACCAACGGATCAATGCAATGCCGCAGCAAATAAAATTATGTACCTTCAGCTTAAAAGCAAAAGAACGTAAAGGTGAAATTAGTCAAGAACGCTGAACTTATACTTAAACGCTGTCTGTATACGCAGAATTTTGTCGATTACTGAAGCTCGCAGTGAATACGCAGAAACCAGCTTTTTACTCATGGTGCAGCGAACAAAGGTGGCGCCGTCAGTGGTACCGCTACTTTGGTTTTGCCGATTTTGACAGTTGTGGTAACATGTAAATAAACCTTTGTTTACAAATCAGCGACAAAGAGAATTTTAATTATAAGTGAAAAATCAGTTTAAATGGTGTTAATTTGCAATTTCTGAGTAATTTTTGAGTTGAAGACTGCGTAAAAACTAATAAAATCAAATTCCGTGTGATAAATTTCGATAGCCGTTAAGATCGCTGTGACGAATCGCTGCATTTTGTGTACATAGGGCACGGTAAATCCGTTCTCGAAATGTATCTTTATTATTATACTAGCTTATACCCGCGGGTTTCACCCCGCGCTTTTATACAAATATGAAAAATAATTTAATGATGTTAAATTTTATTTCTGTGCCCATTTCGTTATAGCTCGTTTGTTTTTGGGCGAGTTAAGGTATTTAGGCCATTTAAAACTAAGTTTACCTTAAAATGGTTCCAGGTATACGACGCGTAAACTTCTTGGAGGTGCCACGGCGGGTTCTAATATTTCCAACTCAAATTTAGTAGCCTGGCCTTGATAAAATACCACTTCTCATTACTGTAGCAAATGCCTCAAGAGAGCTTTAGATTATAAGGCCGAACCCGGCTCTCCCTTTTCCATTAAAAGGAATTTTTGCTATCAGTACGGCACTTATGAAATAAATCTCCATAACAAATTTAAAATACTTCCAAAGATTTTCTATCCTTCCAGAGATATGTATTAAGAAATTTTTAGTATGCATGGGAGGCGACATGCCTCCTTTTTTAATAACTCACATTTTTTCCATGAGCAATTGAAACATTTTGTATACACAACTCCATACCAAGCTCCAGTATTCTTCCACAAACACTTCCAGGGATATGTGGCAAGAAAAAGTCAATTTGCACAGTAAGTGCCACGCCCCTTTTTCTTATGACCCTAATCTTCTTTCATGAATTTAGAATTGATTTTACATACCCCAGTACCAAGTCCAGTACTCTACCATGAACACCTCTAGAGATATGCAGTATAAAAGTAAATTTGTACGGGAGGTACCATGCCCCCTTTTCGAATAACGCAAATTTTTCTCCATGAGTATGGAATTAATTTTGTATACACATCTCGGTGCCAAATTCCCGTCCTCTGCAATAAACACCTCCAGAGATATGCAGCATAGAAAAATCAATTTGCATGGGAGTTGCCACATCACCTTTTCCAATAACTCTCATTTTTCTCCATGAGTATGGTATTAGTTTCACATACATACATACATATGTATTTCCATACCAACCTTGAGTACTTTACCCCAAACATTTGAAAGGATATGCAATATGAAACTTTCAGTCAGTATTGGAGGTGCTACGCCTCTTTTCCAAAAACGTCCATTTTTCCCCGTGAATATGAACATGATTTCACACAGTGTTGGAAAACTGTTAATCTGATTAACGATTAAAAATTAACGATTAAAATGTTAATCGCGTTTGACGATTAAAATTAATTAGTCGTTATCAACTGTACGATTAATGATAACATTTTTTGAATCGTTAATCGCTGGCTGCGATTACGTTTAATTAATTTAAAACATTAATCGTTAATCCAATTAAAAATAAAATCTGATTAATTTGTCTAGTTTGTCCGAGTTTGAAACCAAACACCAGTTATAGTAATTATTTTGTGTTTTACGCTTATAAAAAGCACATAATATAAAAAATTATAATTATTGTTATTAGAAATACATAAACTGGGAACTTTTACAAACCTAGTTTGTAAAACGTTTGTTGGTATGCTGCGTTTCAGTGATCGCCGATCGAGATTTCATTTATTATTTTAGATTATTTGGATAAAGAAAAGTTACGCCAATTCAACATCGATGTGATGCTGATAGAAATCTGGATCAATTCGTGATCAAATCTGTTTGTTTTGTTTCCTAATTAAGTGAGGAAATTTTAGTTGACAGCACCGACAAATGACTATATACACAAACAAATGTTTGGTTATGGTTAAAACAATTCAAGTTTTTGTATTGAATTTTTGGTTTAAAATTTATTTTTTCCTTTTCAGTAGGGTTTTTGCACATTTTCTTCTGCGTGAGAATTGATCGTAATATATACGGATCTAAATAAGAGACTGGAACACGGCTGTTTGCCAAAAGCATACGATTTCGAACTCGCGTAAATGTACATTTGCTAAATGCTATAGCATGAACGCTCTTCGAAGAGATATGATCGAAAGTGCTAAATGTTTCATTTTAAATGCAGCAAAAACGCTGTATTACATCGATGTTGAGTTTGCTAACTTTTCTTTATCCAAATAATGTAAAATAATAAATGAAATCTCGATCGGCGATCACTGAAACGCAGCTAGCCACTGTGTACTCGAAAAAGCAATGTTGCTACTTTTTGTCATTTTATCATGTACGGATTGTGGAAATTTTGGAAGATCACGGGGTGGCTTTTAGCATTTAGACTCTTACAGGTCTATTCTGCACGTGACCGAAGATTTTGTAACCGGAAAATTGTATTACCAAATAATGTTACCAGTTCTTGTCACCGTGATTCTAGGTACGTTGGTAATGCAGTTAAAATATTCAGCAATTCAGCTATGAAGAATTGTGCAAATCCTGGTATTGCATATTTTACGGGGCAATAATTTGTTACCAGCTTATGAGATGGTATCAAAATTTACCGCTTACAAGAGTACACAGAATGTGAAAAGGGTTTAAAAATTGACAGGAACTTTATTTACCGGTTACAAACTCTTTATTACCAGCGCAGAATAGACCTGTTAATGCAAAAATGGAGTTGCATTTAGGTGACGAATTTTGTATGAATATATGTACATTCAGAGTAGTATTTAGAGCTAAATGTGCTTTTACGCGTAAGCAAAAAAGCCCATAAGTCTAATTTCCCTATGTAGATTTACGTTCTTTGGTACAAGTCAAATGCTCAGTTTGCAAAACTGAACCTTTATATTCTTTGGTATGACTTTGTTGTAAAAATGATGGGAAATTTCACATATATTTTACCTTAAAGACTCCGCCAGATAGAAAATGCTTTCGACTGACAAGGCGCACGGAACATGGCGGGACGACACAATTAAAACGTTGCCGCAAACAAAACGGCTCAATTTGATTGCGTTGTCTTCTATTCATCCCTGTGACGCAGAGAAAAATTTCCATCAGAAATGGACTTAAGAAATTGTATATGGAGCTCGATAGTTTTTTCACGACATATTTTCATTCAATCTCTTATGGCATGCTAGATTTTCTAGGAGTTGTTCAATTACTATCTCTACACAATGTAGACTTATTCTTTTTAAATGATCCGGTAACGTAGGGTCTGAATGCATTTGCCACAGCCAGAGACCATCGCATACAGACATTAGATCCAGTGAAGAATCCGGGAAACATTTCTATTTTAATAAAAAAGGCATTCAATCAAGCATAAATTTATATCTTAATTGAATCAAGGTTAAAAAGGACAAAAAAAAGTAGTTATTAAAGTTGCGATTGAGCTATTACAAATGTGTACATAAGTTATTTATGCGGGTACCTGAACCTTGCTTCGGTACCGCAGAATCAACATCGCATAAGTAAAAAATATATATTAATGCATATTATGAAAATCATTTCCTGAAACTAAAAAGCATTAATCTTGAGATATGCCTAGTTATTGCATTTAATCCCGATGAATTAAGCATTTTTGTATTGTCTGCGTGCTTGTGCCAGTTTTGCTGTGTTTGTTGAGCCTATGTATATAAAACGGAAGCAAACTGCCATAAAGTTTGAGTTATCATTTTGCGGATGAACTAGGACTATGGCGTTTGGAGCATCTGCGACATCAATTCAATCCATGACCGTTGGTAGCGGAAGTGCGTACGATGGAAAAATTGCAGGATTGTATGATTTGGAAGAAACTCTGGGTTCTGGGCACTTTGCTGTGGTAAAATTGGCTCGGCATGTATTCACTGGTGCTAAAGTTGCGGTTAAAGTAGTGGACAAGACAAAACTAGACGACATCTCTAAAGCCCACTTATTTCAAGAAGTGCGGTAAGAAAGTTTTCATTTGAGTACAAAGAATATACAAAAAAGGTTCATTTTTTGATAGGTGCATGAAGCTGGTGCAACATCCAAATGTAGTGCGGCTATATGAGGTCATTGACACACCAACAAAACTCTACTTGGTGTTGGAATTGGGTGATGGTGGTGATCTTTATGATTACATAATGAAACATGAAGGTGGTCTTAGCGAAGAATTTGCTCGAAAATATTTTAAACAAATATTGAGGGCTATAACCTATTGCCATCAATTGCATGTAGTTCACAGGTGAGAAATGGGTTTTAATACATATGTATGCGTATTCCTTAAAATACTTACCCAGCCTGCAAAGAAACGTAAATTTTGCGGACAGTGCAGTTTAGGCTGATGGCACACAATCAGTTTTGCCTTTCAATTTTCTCACACACATTGCTTGTCAAAAATCATAAAAATTGAAAGCCATTACGTAGGCTGCATTCAATTTGAGAAGCAATTTCATTATCAACATGTCGTCTTCAAGAAAACAATGTAACTAACTAGCTTCTGGAGACCATTTTCCATTTTAATTCCATTGTAGATTAACATTTTACCATGCATAAGCTTGATATTTTTTTATTTTCACAAAATTTGCACGCCAATGCTGAAAAGCTGATCAAAATTGAAAGCAAAATTGAAACTCAATTGAAAGGGAAAAATTGAAAGCAAGTCACCCATTCAAGCAATAAATAGTTGCGTTTTTTTACTCATTTCCAGTAAAATCCAGTAAAAGTTAATACGAATTTTCATGTTTTGGCGTTTTCGTACGCAAAAACTTGCAAAGTAGGGGAAATTGAGAGAGCGAAAAATGACAGTTGAAGTTGCAAGTTTTTACTGGATTTTACTGGATAAATTTTTACTTGTGAGAATTTGCCAGTACGAAAAACAGCTGAACGCATGTTGCTGGATGAAATTTAAACTAATAAGGAAACTGTTTGTGGGTTTTTATTGTTGAATTTCACAAAATAAACCTATTTAAATACAAAATATATTGTTTTATTAGGAATTTGCTGCGAATAAACAACCAATTTATCAGCTGTTCATGAAACTTGCAAATTATTACGGGAAAAGCGTTCGCGTACTTTATTGCAAATTTTTTCTATGAGAGCGAATTCTTAGAAATAAAGTTACTGGAGAGTTGCTGGCAAGTTACTGGATAATTTGTAAAAAAACACAACTAATAATAAGAGTGGGTTAGTGAAAAAGTGTGAGAGTATTGAAAATTGAATGTGTAACCGCCCGGTTAGTTCAATTTTCCGTATCCGGAAAACGTTCGAAACGTTAGAAGATGATGTAGTTTGAAAGCAATAATTGTATTTTATTTGCTCAAGCTAAACATTTGAAAGCATGCATGCGTAGTCGGCAGTGGCTGAGCGTGCAGAGGAGTGTGCCGCTATTTGTTAGCTTCCGGAAGGTGCCGGGTTCGGATTCCGTCAGGCGCTTCCTAATTTTATTTTATTTATTTTGAACCATGAAGAAGTATCTGTGAAGCACAGAAGGAAAGCGTATTGAACGAAAAATTCAATCAGACATTTTCAGAAAAAACAGCTGAAAACTTATCCATTTCACAAACAATTTTCGGTAGTTGTATATACATACGTTTCTGCCGCACACTTTAGTGGGAAAACGGATCGTCAAAGTATCCGAAAATGGAATCAGTAAACGGACAAAAGTCCGAACTTCATCCACGTATTTTGGATCGGTTTTCGGATTTTCTGCTGGCTGGGTAAATACAGCTTCTAGTATTAAGTACACATCGACCAATTGAAAAACCACCTGTCTTACGGCACTCAGGGTTACCAAATATTATTTTTGCCACAACTAGTTGTTGTTGTTGTAGCAGCATACAAATTCCCCAAAGACTTTTTGGGGAGTGTTGCTGGAGTGACAGTCCTTGGCCAGATATAAATCTGGGTCGTTCCGGTTACGTAGACCCGACTGTCGTGGGAACGGCCACAACTAGTCGCCGCAACTAGTCGATGGGCGGTATTGCAAAAAAATCGATGATATGCACGTTAAACAAGTAATTTTTACCAAAAAAACCGACTTAAAATAAATAAATAAATATATATATATATATATATATATATATATATATATATATGTAATATATGTATATATATATTTCATGATCCAATGATCGGATCTAAACCAGAATAGTATGGACACTCTGAGACACTACCTTTCCGATGCAAAAAGAATTATCGAAATCGGTTGATGTGGTCCAAAGTTATGCGGTAACATACATAAAAAAAATATTCCGACGAACTGATAACCTCCTCTTTTTTGGAAGTCGGTTAAAAATTATATACGGATGTACATGTAAGTGCCTGATTTGAAGTACATACATAAGAATACCTTTGTTTTTCGCTCTTTAAAGTACCTACTAAAACAAATTGAACTCTACGCATATATTAATACATATCGCGCGTTTAATAATATAGAGATGTAACTCAAAATTTACGGTTTTGGAGATTTCATTATACAGTTAATAAGGTTTATAAGTGTAGAAAATGTTGAGTCTAACAGATAACCAAACTTCCCAAATATAGCGAAGATATGTGTCTTTCCATCTGTCTTTTTGTATACCTGTACTGTATGAAAGGATATAACTTTGATTGCGTTTTCCCACAAAATTGAAATTTTGAAATACTTGTTTATATTATTAAACGTGCGATATTCTGTTCGTTTGCAGAGACCTGAAACCAGAAAATGTAGTATTTTTTGAAAAAATTGGCGTAGTTAAGTTAACTGACTTTGGATTTAGCAATAAGTTTTCACCGGGTCAGAAGTTGGAAACATTTTGTGGTAGCTTGGCGTATTCTGCTCCAGAAATTCTTTTAGGCGATTCTTATGATGCACCAGCAGTAGGTAAGTTTCAAATCAAAATATAAATAATGTAACAAATGTATACTATATACATACGTACATACATACATACATTGTCTTATGAAACAATTTTGTTTATTTATATAATGTGTTTTAGATATATGGTCATTAGGCGTTATTCTATATATGCTTGTTTGTGGCCAACCACCTTTTGAAAAAGCAAATGACTCAGAGACCCTAACCATGATTATGGACTGCAAATATACGGTACCACCACAAGTGTCTCTGCACTGCAAACATTTGATAAGCTCAATGTTAGTGCGAGATCCAAAAAGTCGTGCAACACTGGATCAAATTGCCGCGCATCCTTGGTTAAATGAAATGTCTGAGTTTGATGCAGCTGATAGTTTACCGTTGATAAGCCGGCAACAACTTTGTGATGAGGATCATGCCTTTATTATACAGAAAATGATGAATGGAAATATTGCTTCCAAAGAAGAGATTTTGCAGTGAGTATTTTTGAGTAACTATTTCGTTTTGTTATACATATGTAAGAATATTTTACTGCAGGGCATTGGACAAAAATAAGTACAATCACATCACAGCGACATATTTTCTTCTTGCTGAATTAAAATTACGCAAACGTCGCGAGGAACAATTTCCCAAAAAACATACACCAATCCTTTTACAAGACGTGTTGGCAAAGTAAATATTTACAATATCGCGTCATGATGTAAGTTCATTTAGATATATATAATAAATTATTTATGTTTCAGGACAAACAATTCAGAAGTAAAGCGTGGGCAGATACCAGATGCCAAGACAAAATCTTCAGATTCAAACAAAATCATATTGCCGGCTAACACGGTAACACGACCAGCAACAGAATCTAAGACAGTTAATTTATTTACCTTTTGTGTTTTTTAAACCGATAATTAAAAGTATATTTTCATTCTTGTTTCATACAGGATAAACGGAGTAGAAAATGTAGTATTGTTCGAGAAGAAGACGAAGATGAGTCTGGCTACGAGAACACAAATGACGGTAACGAATTACATGTAGCTGTTACGCGACGTGAATCAATCTCGGATGGCCGTTTGAATTGCGTCGTTCAAGAGCGAACAAAACCAAGCACTATAAAGAAAATAGATGATTGTCCAAAAATGACTGCATCGGTTGATGCTACTTTAGTCCATAAGCTTAATCAAATTGAAAATCATACCGCATGTGATACAAATGTAGGAAAAGATGCACCAAATCATAGAACAGGAAAACTACCAGTAACGGATGACGCATTGAGAGGAATGAAGGACCTTGAAATAGGCAAACTAAATCCTTTTCCGATGAGTGGTAAAAATCCGGTATTGACTCATAGGCGCAGCAAACTAAGTAAGATCCGGACCCCATCATGTAGTAGTTCCGAGGCATCGGACGATGATACTAAAGCTCGTAGCAAGAAAAAAATGAATAAATTTGTTGGTGACACCCCAACAAGATTTCGCATGCACCGGCGAGATTCTCATGATGACTCAAGTGATTCACAAGACCAATCGTGTCCTCCATCTGGATCACATATACCATCAGCGCATGTAGTGGCCGACAATAGCACAAACGTGAGTGGCAAAAAGGAAAGTCAAAAGCACAGTAAAGAGGTAAGTCGACATGTCTTATAGATATTTTGTGGTTAAATTAAAAATGAAAACAAAACTTGTTTGGATAAAACTAACAATAACACCTCGTTTGATTTCTTTGTAGCAAAATAAAACCGATGATACGCGAAAGAATTGCAATTCACATTCAGATCGACACAAAAAACAGCAAAGAGATGACAAAGAGAAAAATACTCGCACCAATAATAACTTAAAATCGGAATCGTTAATAAGTGGCACTGGGCGACGCCGAGTTCGAGAGAGTCAATCACTTGATCGCATAACCGAAGCACAGGAATATGAGTTTCGTCAAAAGGGTTTTACATCCGATGTGCACATCGATTTAAGGAGCTCGCTATTTAATCTCAACTCATTTACGGTCGCAGAGACTAAGGAAGAATACGACGAAGAAGTTATTTCTGCTGAGTCAGAAAAAAACATTAGCATTTTCGCAGCTGAAAATTCAATACATATACAACGTGGAAGCGTCTCTAAATTGAATTCAATAGAAAATATCGATCTTATTCTCGAAGATAAGAGGCTTACGAAAGCAATACAAATTACTGGCTCAAAATGTTTTGTTACCATGAAGAAGATTCGTAAGCTAGGTAAATATTTTCCCGTAGTAAATTTTTCTTAATACCAGATGTGTCACCCGAAACAACTACTCACACAGAGGCAGAATTCATGAAAAATATATATAGATATTTTAACTAAATTAATTTAACTTTAAAGTATAATCTAATATTCAATGCAATATTCTAGTAATTATAAATAAATCACAACAAAGTCACATGCATTACGCACGTTTTGAACGTACCACAATTTCTTCTTACCATAATGGAATACAAATAACCAAAGTTTTCGCTCTGATCAGCTATTCCTAAACTCTCAGCTAGATGAAATAATTTTTACGCTTTAGTAGGAGTATGATATATTTATATATCTCGCCATGAACTGCTACTTCGGAAAATCCCATTGACAATGCTAAAAAGAGTCGAGTACATCACCACCGCATTCAAACACATGGATTCCGGAAAATGCACAGCACCACCAGCATCGAGCGCGACAGCCGGTTCTACGTACCGGAATGACTCGGGTTTCACCCGACCAAGGGCTGTTGTTTCGGCGATCTAACCCCGTTTAGGTCGGCGAAGTATCTCAGAAGTTGTCCGTCCATAGGGCAACATTCACTACGCATTCTCCTACTCAGGGCTGGCATCGAGTCAAACCCTGGGCCAGAAATATACACCTGCTGTGTATGCCGAAGACGATTACACCACAACTCCACCTCAGTCAAGTGTAATGCCTGCGAGGGGTGGAGTCACCTCAGGGTCTGCTCGGGACTACGGACACACAGACAGTGGACCACGTCGTACGTGGCCCCCTGTTGCTCAAACAGAGCAGCCTCCACGGCAAACCATAGTCCGCCCGTGCAGCCCCACACACTCACACAGCAACCACACACAGTCGCCACAACACAACAACATAATAACACCACAGACCATACCACAGCCACCACAGACCACATAACACACACAACCGCACCACCACCCACACGCCGCCGCCAACAACTCCTGGTTCCCCCTACAATCTGCACGGTATGTCAGACCAGAATATTCCGTAATGTGACATCAGTCAAGTGCAACACCTGCCTTGGCTGGTGCCACTTTAGGGCATGTTCAGGTCTGCGTACCACGCGAGATTGGACGGGGAACTTCGAGGGTCCGTGTTGCGCTGCTAGGTCGCAGATTTCAATTGCGACGCCCCCCACCACCACCACAGGGCGGCAATCACCTCAGCAGCACACACCGCCAACGGCGGCAAGAACATACACCTCACTTACACCCCACATCACGACACGTCTCCCGAACCACATGAAGCTCCTTCAATTCAACTGTAACGGGCTACAGAGCAAGATTGAGGAGATAACCGTCTTCATGTGTCGGCATGATATATTAATAGCTGCGGTCCAAGAGACGAAGTTGCACAGCAATTCAACTTTGTTGAATTGCGCCGGGTACAACGTGCACCGTCGAGATCGCGAGCGAGATAATGGTGGTGGCTTAGCGTTCATCACGCACCACACCGTGCAGTATCGTCTTATCGAAGCAGACATCGACCGCAGGGATACCACCCTAGAATGTCAGGGCATCGCTATCCGGTCAGGCGATGTCGAGCTCGAAATATTTAACATATACATACCCCCTGTCACCTGCTGCCCGGCAGGATATCACCCTGATATAGGTGCGCTCCTCAGAGGTGAAAACCGTATGGTAGTAGGTGACTTTAATGCGCACCACGATCTTTGGCACTCAAGCCTGTCAAACGATCGTAGGGGAACAAACTTGGCTGAGCAGATAGACGATTCGACATTCTGCACAATGAACGACGACGCACCCACCAGGATTATGGGTAACTGCAGTAGCTCGCCAGACATCACAATAGTCAGCGCTGGTCTGATAAACAGCATAACGTGGCGACCTATGCTGACTCTAGCATCAGACCATCTACCCATAGTCATCTCGATTGATAAACCAACCGACTTTACCCGCCAAACACCGGACCTATATCAACTTTTCTAAAGCTGATTGGAAAGGTTACGCGGAGTTTACCGAAAACACCTTCGCAGCGCTCCCCACACCAACCGACGTCCATCTCGGTGAACGTAAGTTCCGCAGGGCTATCACTGCTGCTGCAGCTCGCTTCATACCGGCAGGATGTATATCGGACCCACGTCCAAACTTCCCTGCCGAAGCGGCTGTTCTAGCTGATGAGCGTGATAGCCTTCGTCAGGCCGATCCCGGAGATCCCCGTATCAGGGATCTCAACGCGGAGATTCGGCAACTTGTAAACGTACATAAGCGGAAGAAGTGGGAGGAGCGCCTGAAGACTTGTAATTTCACCTCTGGTGTGAGCAAGCTTTGGTCAACCGTGAGGTCATTGTCTAATCCGACGAAGCACGACGACAGAGTCGAAATTTCCTTCGGCGACCATGCTTCGTCGGACCCGGAGCGATGCGCGAGCTATTTTAGCCGGCAGTTCATACTGCATCCTCCGGTGGACAAAGCCAAGCGTCAAGTGACCAGAAGGCTGCACAAACTGCCAACAACTTGTGCCCCCCTTGCTTTCACTTGCGGTGAAGTTCAGGTGGCCATCGGGAAGGCGAAAGCCTCCAAAGCCATGGGTCCCGACGGAATATGCATGCTGATGCTGAAAAATTTGGGTCCTGCGGGGGTAGCGTACCTAACGGAGGTCTTCAACCTGTCAATGGCCACTCTCATCATCCCAGACATCTGGAAGGTGGGGAGAGTGGTACCACTGCTCAAACCGGGGAAACCCGCCAACAAAGGAGATTCGTATCGTCCGATTACACTCCTTTCCCCGGTAGCGAAGACACTCGAGGCCTTGCTACTCCCGAACTTCACAAACCACCTGACCCCAGTACAACAACAGCACTTAACGCCATAAACACTCAGATAACTCGTGGCCTTAACCGTAACCGTCCCTGTGAGAGAACGATTCTAGTAGCGTTGGACTTGTCAAAGGCGTTTGACACCGTCTGGCATTCCACGCTACTAGAAGATATAGAGGCCTCCTCTCTCCCACAGAGGCTCAAACGGTGGTCGGCAAATTATCTGAGTGGTCGACATTCGTCGGTAATATTTAGAGACAAAACGAGTAAGCAGCGAAAAATAAAACAGGGGGTTCCTCAGGGTGGTGTCCTTTCCCCGCTACTGTTTAACTTTTATATTTCAAAGCTCCCTCAACCACCAGAGGGAGTCTCGATTGTCTCCTATGCCGACGATTGCTCGATCATGGCGACTGGGAATGGAATTGATGACCTGTGTTCGAAAGTAAACGGCTATCTCTCCGAACTCTCTCGCTTCTTCACTGCAAAGTGTCTAGCCCTCTCCCCTACGAAATCCTCCGCGACCCTGTTCACAACCTGGACGAAGGAGGTCAGGCTACCGCTGGGGATTAACGTCGATGACACACCAATTCCGACGGTGAATAACCCCAAAATACTCGGAGTAACATTCGACAGCCTGCTCTCCTTCTCTGCGCACTCAACCGCTATTGTCAATAAAGTACAGAGCCGCAACAAGGTCCTCAAGTCGCTAGCCGGCAGTACTTGGGGCAAAGACAAAGAAACGTTGCTGGCAACATACAAGGCAATAGGCCGGCCGGTTTTGAACTACGCAGCGCCAGTGTGGTCGCCAGGGACTAGTAGGACGCAGTGGACGAAGCTACAGACGGTACAAAATACGGCACTTAGGACAGCGACGGGATGCCTCTTGATGTCGCCTGAACACCACTTGCACGGCGAGGCGCAAATGCTCCCAGTTAAGGAGCATAATATAATGCTCTGCAAGCAGTTCCTGATCGGGAGCCACAGAAGTGGCCACCCAAGCAGACAGCTGCTTGCAGAGGAGCCCTCGCCTAGGCACGTCAGGAGGCATCTATATGAACTGACGGACGAAGTCCAGAGGTTCATTAAGCAACCTCTGGACCCGACAGCGTACAGACAGGCCCTGAACGGCATTCACAGGGACTCAGTCTCGAGTTATGTAGACTCTAGACCTGTGAATGCCGTTCTAGGCATACCACCCCCGGACATAGACGAGACAGAGCTTCATCTGCCTCGGGAGACACGCACTACACTCGCACAACTTCGCTCCGGCTACTGCAGCAGGTTGAACTCCTACTTGAGTAGGTTGAATGAGGATGTGCCGAATGAGTGTCCGGCAAGTGGAGAGACCCCACATGACTCGAAACATCTCTTCGCATGCCCGGAAAACCCGACAACCCTAACGGCCTTGTCCCTGTGGACAAATCCCACAGAAGCTGCACGCTTCCTAGGGTTGCCGTTAGTGGAACTTGACGACAACGACTGAGATACCAACCGATCTGGGCGGGGTTGTTGTAGCCGCTACAACAACAACAGCGCCATCACTACACAGATAAGCGAAAGAATGAAACAACGTCGACCATTCGACAGGACGGTTCCAGTCGTAGTTGACCTGTCGAAGGTATTCAGATCGGCGAATCATGCAAACCCCTTGCCAAGACGTCCAGAACTCATCGCTTCCAGCTTCTACGAAACGGTAGATAACCAGCTATATGTGTGGACGCCAATCTTCAGTTGAATTCTGCCACGCCAAGTCTTACAGCCGCACTCAGAGTCGTTTAATGATTACTTAAAGTAACGATTCCCCCTCAGAGTCAAATAATCATTCGTTAACGGCATGTAATGAGCATTCAAGCTAAGTAAGCAAAAACTTTTACTTAACTTTTTAATGAATGATTTTGAAATTTTTAGTTTGTTTTCAATAAATTTGATTTTCGATAAAGTTGCTGTAACAGTGGCAATGGTCCAGTGAGCAGAGAACTTTCGTGCCATTCAAGAGATCCGAGTTCATTCCTCGGCAACGAATTTTCATATTTTTTATTTTATTTAACGTTTGGAAACTTTTTTGATTCATCTTGTTTCTTTTAGTTTCAGTTTCTCAAATTTTTAATTTTTCCAGTTATAATTTTTTTTTCATTTCGTTTAGTCTTTAGAAAACTTATTGCTAAACAATAAATATAATAGCACTATTAGCACATCTTTCAATTACTCAATCGAAATACAGAAAAGAGCTTTCAAGCTGAGATATAAAGACTTCTGTCTCTCGAAAGACTGAGGAGAGTTGAAAGACAGATGCCAAAATTGGCATGTTATTGGTTTTGTTTGTCTTTTAGCAAACAGTTTCTAAAAATTTAATCAAATAAAATAAAAGTGTTTCCTTTTTAAAGCAATCAAATCTATAAATCAGA